AACTTGGCAGCACACCGATCCTGGTCGTATAACGTTATACGAGTTGAAACTAACTCGTATATATTACACGAGTTGTGTTGTGTTTTCGCATGTAAATGGACATTTAAACGAGTGTTCTTTTGTAGCTCGGTTGCAAAAGAATACACCAATTATAAAGAAAGAGCACGCAATATGCAGGTGAAGATGCTGAGAAAAGAACAGGAAAGCTTGACTGCCCTGGCGCAGGGCAGCCTAAATGCAACATTATTTCGAGAAAAGAAAACGCTATAAACTAAAACAGGGTTGTTGCGAATATTCGCATTCGCATTCGCAACCGCGGAGCTTCCGCATTAATTTTAACATTCGCATTCGCTTTCGCATTCACAATAATCAATACGGATCTTTTGCGAATGCGAATATTGAAGGGACCGAAATATTTTTTATTCCCAATTAAAAGTCTTCCGGATAATAAACAAGCCGCTTATCCAAATTAAACAAGTTTGGTACCAAATGAAGGAAATGTCTAAACGAGCAAAGCCACCCATAGAAAAATATTCCAATAAAAAAATGTTAATTAATTACCATAGATCAAACGTTGGGTCGGGTATATGAATTTCTTTAGTATTAAATGGAAAAAAAAATACAAATAGAGGTGGTAACCTTCTTTAGTTATTTCTGCTTAAAAGCTATTTCAGTCACAGAAGAAAGGATTAAAAATGAATTACAAAAACAAAATCATAAAACGCTGTTGACGTTACAGCTCCTACAAATTCAGAAACAACCAAAAGAATGAGAGTGAAGAATTCCTTGGAAATCAACGGTGTTTAACCAACGATCTTGCCATGATGCAAGATTGTGAAGATGGACGTCAGGAGGATACATCCGACATTTGCAGCCCGATTCAATTCTCAAAACAGAATTATTGCACCGCAAAAAAAAAAAAAATATAACTGAAAGACGTCTCAACTGGTGCAGCGTCAATTGAAAAGAATTTACAATTTTGTCAAGTTTAAAGTTTTTCAAGTTTGCCGCCTTGAGCGAGTAGTTATTTAGTGGCGCAGGTTCGATTTACGACCCTTTAAAAACTTTTTATTGAATACAATGTTCCAATTTTTAAATTCAAATACTAAAAAAAACATTATTGAGTTTACTCTCTCTAGTTGTGCAAACTCTGCACCTCACTATCAAGCAGCTCTTTCCTACTTTCTAAAGCAGATATACGTTCAGCAGATTCTGTTAGTTTGATAGAGAGCACAGAAATCTCCGTATCAATTTTATTGCAAAGAGCACGCTCCGCTTCCGCAATTTTGTTAGAGAGACCTTCAAACAGAGATTGGAGTGTATCGGATTGACGTTGTACCTTTTGCTCAAGCTCTCTAAGTGCAGTTAGGATCAGTATCGCCGTTTTAGCCCTTTGGTGGCTAGATTTAGCTACCACATACTTTTTTTGGCCACATAAATTTAAAATTGCCCCTAGCCCTTTTTTTAGCCCTTTGGAGAATTTACTTATACTTGGCATGAAAAAGTTGTATATGTTTAATTTGATCTGATTTTTTTTTCATTTATGTAAGAGATGAATTTTTAAACTAAGAAAGACTGATATATATTCATATATGTATTGTATGTTCCTTACCTTTTTATACATACAAACTGTAAAAGTGTTAAGGCTCTTAATTTGTTAAAAGGCCCATCAACTCGATTGACTGTGTATGTTCTTGTGATGTGATTGTACCAGCTGCTGGTGTCGTGAGTGGTGAGCTCAATTTTCTAAGTAAAACGTATTTTGGCGGAAATTCTTGCACTATATATGTCAAAGCCGTGTTTGTGGAAGATTAAGTTCACGATATTGCAGTTGTGAATTAAGAAAAAAAACAATGTTTAAGAAAATGGTAGACAAAATATGAAATTTCGGCTCTAATCATTTCGATCTTTCCTCGACCTCATTTTTAAAGAAATAAATATTGAGCCAGCATGCTGGTAAGTTATAAGCTGCAGCCAGCAAGCCGGTGTGCTATGTTTCCCCTTTTACACAAAAATGTTTTTGGTTGGATAAAATATTTGCTTTTTTCCAGAGTTCATAGTTTTTCTATACCAATACTTCTTGAGAATGTTTGCGTGTATACTTATATATGTAGGTATATGTAAGTAAAAAATTTTAGCTACCAGTTTTAGCCACAACGACTTTTTTAGCTCTTTTTCAGCCCTTTTATTAAAGGAATTGGCTACCACTAAAAAGGTTCGCGGCAACACTGGTTACGATAGATGGTAAAGCTGCACTCTCATCCAGTTTCGCTGCTTTCGAAATTGGAGAATCTTTGCTCAAGCGACGTTTAGCAGCAGCAGGAGGGGGAGACATACCATCAAGTTCGGCAACAACAAAAGCAGCACAAGCAGTTTTTTACGCGTTTACACCTCAGCTCGAATCGAATCAAATGACAAACGGCAATAGGTATATCACCAAATTTAGTTTCACCAGAAAACACAATACACAAATATATCATGCGCGGAAAACCACGTAGAAAATAAGAAAACGCAGAGCAAAATAAAAACACGTCTGCACTGTATAAATTTTGGCAATTTTGGTGGTTAGTATCAATTTTGGGTAAAACTAGCTTCCTTAAATTTAAATATCAAAGTTTCAAACCTTTCTG